ATTTTGTTAAAATATACTACCGCTTGGCAAATCCTAATATTTAACCTAGTCAATCTACACCAAGAGTGTGAACACCTTATTAGCCACATATTTCACTGTGTAAATACACCTCTGCGCTTCACTCAATTTCCGACGCCATTTCAACAGTACCGCGATTGTTTCCGTCGAGTGTGTGTTAAAAAGTTCTGAAAATGATCAAGTTTGCGTTAAATGAAGTGAAAAGTTTTAGTTTTCTATAAAAAATAGGAAAACTAAGTGTTTTAATGAGCAAATTACATAAATGCATGCGCGAGTAGTGATTATTTTAGCTTTCGTGGCGATATACATATCTAGTTTAGATGGGGTGCGCGAGTGGCTCGGGCCGGCCCGAACAAGTTTTTTTTTTCATTAAATTGAAGTGTAGTTGTGCAATCTTCATCTAATTTGTGAAAGTTATAAGGTGAGTGAATTGAAAAAGCCAAAGAATTATATGTGTATATTTATGTATGTAAATTGCAGGCTTCCTATTTTTGCATGTTTAGAAAATTTGCATCAATATAGTATTGGAGTTTTTGTTGGTCATTTTTGGTCCCTCTATATTTCATCTTAATTTATGTTCCCTTTATAAATCCCTAGTAAGCACAAAAGGTTATTTGGTTCAGTGGCATGAGTTTAGGCGCATGTCGGAACAGCTTTCAGCCAACAGTGGTTGCTAAATTGTGTAGAAGCAGTGTGAATAGTTGAGAGCTTGTATATTCATACCAGAGAATGATAAAATGTTGCGCAACATGAAATCTGCTCTTCTTCGTGTTGCGAGCAAACAAACGAAAATATGGCAAATCTTCATATAATTTTGATTAATTTGTAATTTTTGTCAAAATTTTTAACTTGTTCTCTTTTTATGAAGATGCAAATACAATTTAAAAAAATGATAGCTTTGCAAAAAATTTACATGTGTACATATGTATGTAACTTCTCTGCTCTATCTATCTAAGTTCTCTGGCATAAATACTAAGCAATTGCTTTTACTAAAAAATTTCATACCTTTATTTTAACAACTCTAGTAAAACTTCTGTTCTAAATTCTGTTAATTGCACGTTAATTCTTTACTTTTGTATTGTTAGTCTTCATCCTTTATAAAAATTATTAATGTGGTGCTTGAAAATGTGTTAACATAATTTAATTAATCTGTCTGAACTTCTGGCATAGCTTAATTATCCGCGGAAATAGGCCTCGCTTTCCGGTGCAGAGCAATCAAAGTTTCTGTGAAAATTCCTCCATAAAGTGGGGCTAATTTAAAGTGTTATTTCATTTTATACTTAAGAAATATGTTTTCAAATTTCTACTTTTTGGCAATGCATGGAAAAGCCTTTCGACCGGAGGAGAATTTCAAACGCCGATTTTATCAATAATAGTAAAATAAAGAAATATTTGACGCTTATACATTTTTCTATGAATTTGGCCGAGCTACTTATGAACTTTGAAACGCAAATTTTATTTCTTTCTTGTTTTGCAGGAAACCGATTCCTTGACACAAGAGGGTACTTTCAAAGACAACGTTTCTTCATAGATAGTGATAGAGTGATACGAGTACAGAATACAGAATACCGATACTTTTCATGAGAACTCTATACTTTTTGACAAGTACTGAGTAAGTTAGTTGAGCATGTTAAGAACTTTTTTAAGTAAAAAAATTATATAAAAAATTACATACATTGAAAAATCTTAAAAAATGACCCAATAAACACTGTGGCGAATGTATGAAAATTATCTTCGATATCCAATATAAATGTCGCGAAAATAACATAACGCTCATATACTTCAATACTTTCAAAAATTTTGGCCTCACGATAAGAACAAACTAACTCGATTTAAGTACATATATGGAATCTAAATATTTCAATATTGAAATAAGAATTTCGTACTCAAATCAAATAAGATATTTTTTTTACTATGAGAACGAGTATTTTATTTTAAGTAACATTATAAAGAAAAATGTTGGGTTATCACAACCTTTCATACTTCGACTTAGAATGTTAGATATATGTATATGAACAATATTTTCACAAAAAGACGCGTGTAAAAATGAATGATATATACTTAATTTTTTTAGTTTACATGATCTTAATTCAAGTATTTGGTACTCAAAAATATCATACTTAATATAAAATTTGTGTCGTCTATTTTAGTACTTTCAATATTATTCCAAGTTTAAGTTCGGAAATACTAAGACCGAGTACGAAAAATTTGATTCCTGCTATGAGTGTAGGATCGCTGAATACGAATATGCTTTGAGACATTGGAAATTCTAAATGGTGGATCCACATTTTTTGTATTTTTAAATTTTTAAGATTTTTTAATCTTAATTTTTGTACTTTTGAATAATTTGTTTTTTTTTTACGTTTAGTTTTTGTATTTTTATTAATTTTTCTTTTGTAGTTTTTTGTACTTTTCAATAAAATTGTTTTTAATCTTAGTTTGGAGATGGCTTCAGAAGTTATAATTTTGCGTAGAAAAACTGGGAATTTGTGAGTTTGAATAGAAATTGGACGATAATGATTATTGTTCACATTTCTAAAAGAAATTTCACTAGCAGCATTTCATTTTCCTTCTGTTGATTTAACTTTCTTCGAGAAATTCGTCTTTAAATTGGCATTTTTGTTTACAGTTTACTCTAAAATTTCAAACTTTGTTTACGTATATGCATTCTAAAACCAACAATAAAGTACACACAGCTTGCTGTTTTTTGCTCTGGTGCTATCACCGGTCCAATGTGCTGTGGGGTATGGCAATCTCCAAATTTTGTGGAAGAAGAACTCATTACGCGAAACTAGGCCAAAGCTATTAGTGGTGATTTTATGAAGGATTGCCATATCTTCAACATGAGGAACTCTAATAAGGCTACCAGGAGAATGTTGTAAAAGTAGAGAAGTTCTTTAAGATCGAAGAGAACTTGATCCTTTCAAAGATACGCTTTGCAGTTCAGCTTCTTCCGGATGCTATGCACTGCGTTGTACTTGGTCAAAAGCTGAGTCTGAAGATAATCGTTTGAAAACAGCTTCTACTTCAAAAGTAGTCGGAAATTGTCATCATGTTTCCCTGCCTAGGAATGTTTGTAACAAATTTTTTGGGGCAAAAATCCCGAGCACAAAGTTGCGTGATGTTACAACTGAATATTTACATATGTATGTGTGTATGTTCTGCTCTCACAAAAGTAAGAAAAATATATGCCAAATAAAGACGCTGTTTCAGGGCTATTAAATCTAGGATCATTGGAAAAGGTATTGTGGAAAAAATTGGGAAAGTTATTTTTTGTCCCGTATTCGGCTGCCACAAATATGGTCACCTTTATTATAGCAACACCCATTTAACAGAATTTTTAAGAGAGAACCGCAAGTTACGTTAATTTGCCATAATCAGACCATTATGGTGATTTCATTTCTACCACAAAATGTCGCATTTTGACTGCCCCTTTTTCTTTTTTTTGTTTGATTTTAAAATAAAGGCAAACGGTGAAAAAATTTTGTGTTCGTTTCTTAAAATTTCTCACTTTTTTGTGACATCTTATCCCTGAAAACGTTACAGTCTAGATCTTACTCTCTCGCTTGCAGCTTTGTAGTTAATTTGCTAAATGATTCAGTTGACTGCCCTACCCTAACTGGAAAATTGAATTTTTCTATTCCTGCGCCATTCCATATTCCATATTCCATTCTACCATTTCTGGGGCCTTGTCCGAATTAAATATTGTTCCTAACTTGGACCCGTATTTGTGGCCTGAAGTAGGCCGTAGCTTACTGTATAATTATTTTAACTAGTTTTTAGGCAACCGTATTCTATAGTCAGTGTGAAATTAATGTTCCATCTGACTTCAAATAAATAAATAAATATGAAATAGTAGATAATTGTCCTACCTGCTTTTTCGTGTATTTCCATAACGGATGTGAGAAAAGTGCATGCATTGTCCACCGACAACGTGGAAATCACATGATCTTCACAGGCCGCGCGCAGCTCTTCGACGCCCATATCTTGAGCCAGTGTCATCATTTCAAAGACACGCGAATCTTGCAGCATAATCTGAAATAGGAAGTGTAATGAATGCATTTATTTCAAGCTCTCCAAAATCTAAAAAATCGGATTTACTTACCTTCGCTGTGTAAACGTAAACAATGAATTGCCGAAAGACGTCCGGGTTGACGTGCGGCAGGCGCACTGGCGTGGGCGTACCCGGCGCTGCAGGCGATACCGAACAGCCGGGTATGCGGCAGATTTCACCACGCTTTGCCGTTTTAAAGCTCTTACAGCTGCCATAGATGGAAATATACATACATAAGTATTTAAGTAATTATTCAATGCAATCATAAAAATACCATAAATGGCTTTCGCTACTTTTTGTATTGCAAGCGTAATTAGCTGGCAATTTTTACACCTCGTCGAGTGGCGCTTATCACAATTACATATGTACATTTGAAATGAGGCGGCAAATTTGCACAAAAGTAAAAAAGATTTAAAAATTAATTGAATATAAAAGTGTAATTAAGTTATTTTAAGTTATGTGCAAAAAGCGAATAAAAGTTTCAAAATATTAATTACGATGTACGACGTAATTGTTGTCGTGAATTGCGTTTCTACGCCCATTCATTCAGTGCAGCAATGCAACTGTCCGTCAACGATTTAAAAACAATAATAACAAATGAATAAAACATGTGGCTAAAGCCAGCAGCAACAACAACAGCAATAACAGCAAATGACTACAACCTATTTAAGTGATATGTATTAAATAATAAATGTTTTACAACAACATTACAGTTGACGAATAATAGTTGAGCAACTTGCCACAAATAAATAAATGAGACCGCGTGGCAAATGTAGCAAAAACAAAATGTAAAAACCATAAACATGCAACAGATCGCATTACAGCATTTTTCAACAGTAGCCGCAGGCAATATTTATGTATTTTCCTCTCCATTGCAATTAAATTACATACTTACTTATACATATGCATGCATGTATTTCTATACAGTTGCGGTCAAAATAATAGCAACAAATTAAGAATGATGTTTCTTTACATATTTTTTATAATTAACATGACATAACATAAATAAAACTTTCAAGCTTTGCACAAAGTTCAGAAAAATTAGTCAAATTTAAAAAAAAATTTCCTCAATATTTCAAACTTTTTATCTAGAATTTTTTCGAAAATTTGCAGTAAGCAGTTTTGTACACATTTTAATTTAAGTGTTATAAAGTGTCAGTTTCAACTCGTTAAAGACTACCGTTAATTTTTTTGATTTTTTTTTTTTGGCCGGGAGTGTTGAACATTTTCTTGCATATAAAAAAAAATGTGTTGACGCGTTTAAACTATTTACTTATATTTTAAATGAAAACTATTAAAAATAAATTAATAAACAGCAATTCAAACAATATAATTTTAAATTTTGGTGTTTTTTTATCGCAGCTGCACATTCATACATATTAATCTCTTATTTTCCTCCCACTTACCGCGCCATCAGCAATATGCGATGTGCATAAATGCGTTCTTCTTCTCGTCCGCAAATGAATACCAAATCGGCGCTCTCCTGATCCTCCGATAGACGTTGCAAGTCGGCGATGAGCTGTGGCAGGCCCGCCATGGCGGCCTGATCGCAGTGCAATGGTGTGGGGCAAGGCGGTGGAACACGTGTGCCCATTGTAGTAGCACCGCAGTGAGTCGCAAACTGAGTCACAAAGTGGTCTCAGTTGTTTTGCTGGTGTTGTTGCTGTAAATGTATGTATGTGTATATATGCTTGTTAATTAATGTTGCAACTTGCTGGCAGCATGCCTTGTCCGCTTGTCGGGGCACAAGTTTGCTGCTTTTTAACAGTTTCTTTCCTGCACGCGTTTGTCGCTTAAATCTTTCTTGTTTTTGTTCTTGCTTTTGCTTTGCTTTTTTGTTTTGGTTCTCTTATGCGTTTGTCTGATTACTTGTCAACACCGACAGCGGAGCCAGTCAGTTTTTTTGTGTTGCGCGATCACGTTTGTCACTTGAGTCTTTCATTTGCTTGTATGTGTGCTGGGAAACACGTGCTGATTTTAATGATCGTCTTTTTGTTTTTAGCTAAAACTTGATTTATTTCGTTTTAATTTATTTATATAATTTATCTTAATTGAATTGAATTGTATTTAGTTGAATTAATTTTCATTTAATTTAATTTATTTTTGTCTTTAGTTTACTTTAATTTAATTTAATTTAATATACAAAAGTTTAATTCATTTGTATCTTAGTTTAGATTTAATATTTTAATTTAATTGATGTATTTAAATTTAATTTAGTATGATTGGATTTAATTTAAATTAATTTAATTTAAAATTAATTTAATTTAATCTAATTTAATGGAATTTGATTTATTTTAATTTAATTTTATTTTATTTAATTAATTTTTTGAGTTAAATTTATATATATGTATTTATATTAATTTAGTTTTATTTAATTTTTATATACATAATTTATTTTAATTAAAGTTTAATTGAATGGAATTGATTATTTAATTAATTTTATTTGATTTGATCTAATTTAGTTTAGTTTATTTTGATGTATGTATGTATGTAATTTTATTTAATTTAATATAACCTAACGTAATATATATGCCTATCGTCACCTGCAATGCAAAAGGGCGTAACAACATAGCAACTAGAGGTTTACGCCGACAGGCTTTGCGGCGGCGGCGTGGTCAACTTCAAAAATAATCGGCGGCGGCGGCGACGCCGGCGCGTCTGTAAAGGCCGGCACTACTGCCCATAAGAGCCATGAGGCTACTAATCTTATCATGTCATCTCGTCAACGTTGGGCATTCGCCTTGTCAATTCAGATTATAATTCTACTTATTTCCTTATTAAATTAGTTTTAAATTTAAATATTGTTACTTCCTACTTTTGAGTGCTTGGCGCTGATGGATAGGCGAACCGAAGAGGGTCTAACGCAAAGAAAGTTACTTGTGCAAATTGTGGCAACAACATCTCAAGTGACAGTTAATGCATGGTCGGGCATACCACAGGTCACGCATTGTGGACCACTGTTGCTTATTCTATTTATAAACGACTTGCCTAACTGTTTTAATTTTGCAAACTGCCTGATGTTTGCAGATGATGTTAAACTTTTTTCAGTTGTGCGTGATCTCTCAGATTGTAATCGTCTTTAGCTCGATCTAGATGAATTTCAGCAGTGGTGTACATTAAACTGTTTGAACCTAAATATAGGTAGATGTTGCGTAGTTACGTTCTCGAGGCAGTCTAGTAGTGATATACCTCTTGACTATAAATTAGATGGTTGCGTTATAAAGCGGAGCACTGAAATAAAAGATTTGGGCATTATTTTTGACTCCAAACTCGCGTTTACAAAACACGTTGACTATATTGTATCTAAATCGTTCTCAATGGTAGGCTTTATTAGGCGAAATACTCAAGAGTTCAGAGATCCAGTAACTTTAAAATCCTTTAGTAAGAAGCCGTCTGGAATACTGATCTATAATATGGAGTCCATATTATGAAGTGGACTCGATCAAAATAGAAAGAGCTCAAAAGATGTTCACCAAATTCGCTATTTGCAAGTTGCCCTGGCAAGGTTATGTTCCTCCCTATATTGGCAGACAGAAATTGCTGGGTCTCCAGTCTTTGAAGGAAAGAAGAGATTACTTCTTCATTACATTTATTTATAAAATAATCAATGGGCACACAAATTGCGCTTATTTAACAGATTTGCTCATATTATATAATCCCCCGCGTAATTTAAGAAACAAAAGGCTATTGGTTGATGCTCTGCATACCACGAATTATACCAAAAATGAACCAATTGCTAGATCATTGAATTGTGCAATACATATTCTAGTGTTATCGATTTTAACTTAAGTATTGATAGATTTAAGGATAATTTGTTTACAATATTCACCTAGAGTCTTCACTAGTCTGTAAGAAACTAGTTCTGTAGACTGAAATTAAAAAATAAATAAAGAAATATACTACATACATACATGGTTCTCTATGTTCTCTATAGATCCGTATGTACTATTTAAATTTAAAGAAATAAAAAAAAAATATTTAAAGTTAAGTTATTGGAGTAATTTATTTCGCTATTAATAAATTTCTGAAATAACGTTATCTACCGTTATATTAAATTAAGGGGTTCTTACGATTTTTTGCGGGTTATAGATTGAAAACTAGGGTGGTCTACTACTTTTCCGGGGGTTTTATCCATCAACTCCCAGCAGAACAGGCCTGGTTAAAATTTCCACTAAAATTTTAAGTGCCAAATTTTCCGAGGTTAAACAAAAGTAATGAAAAATACTACTAATTTCCATCAAGAAGGGGGCACTTTAACCCTGTGTAGAAAACATTGCGATGCGATGGAGCAAAACCTTTCTGGGGTTTGCCCACCACTTGTGAATGCTAACATAGTTTTCACACAGCCACATAGAACTTGTATACGTCTGTGGGACCCCGGAATAAAATAACTTACTTATTTAAAATCTGTTTAAAAAATATTCAACTCTTTATTAAAGAAATAAATAATATAAAAAAAAACTTTTTAATATACAACGCTTTTATAAATGGACTAAAAAGTAGAAAACAATACTTCTCAGTTCCATAGAATTTGTTTTGATAACTTTTGATTTTGAAATTTTAGCAAAAGTCATTATAAACAATCTATGAAATTGAAAATGAAAAATGTGGAGCGCATGCAATACAAAGCACTCGATTTAATTGACAATAATCAAACTACATAACGTAGACCTAAAATTTCTACAGCGAAAGTAGAACTTTGAAATCGATTTTAAGCGGTCGTTATTCATATACCCACATACATACATTCATATATTACTTTTCATATCAATTCAAGTGTATTACATGCGCCCCACGCTTTTCATTTTAAATTTCATAGATTGTTTATAATGACTTTTGCTAAAATTTCAAAATCAAAAGTTATCAAAACAAATTCTATGGGACTGAGAAGTATTATTTTCTACTTTTTAGTCCATTTATAAAAGCGTTGTATATTAAAAAGTTTTTTTTATATTATTTATTTTCTACTTTTTAGTCGTCTGAATAAAAGTTTGCAATAGATATTAAAATAATTCAACGATATTAATAGAAAGGTGCACACACATGCATTTACATATATATGTACATACAAACGAGCACCAATTAATTTTATTTAAAGAAATGGCGTGTTGTCTATTTCCGCTGTAGCAAACGTAGTACATAGGGCGACATCTAGATGTCATCTACCTCGCCCTATTCACTATGCTTTTTTATAGGAGCTTTTCAAAGCTTTGCTTTATGGTGTCGGACACACAACATTGAAAGTTTCTGGAACACAACATTGAAAGTTTCTGGAACACAACATTGCAAGTTGATAAAAGCGTTGTAAAAATACACAAGAAGATCAATTTGTTTTTGTTTTATCTCCAATAATCGAGGAGTTAGATGCAATAAGGGCACTTCTGTTAAAACTGCTTTCTGAGATATTATCGTTAAAGTCTTTTGGTGTGTAACAACTTTCTTGTTGTTGTAGTAATCTGTAAAAAAGGAATATTGTTGTGGTATTGAAAAAAATTGTTATATATTCTGTAGTAGTAGTTCCTTCAAGCGATGCGTTTCATGAAAACTTTGTACAAAATTCCTTAGGCGCCGAACGCCGCCGCCGCCGTCGCCGCGCCGATATTTTCGTAACTCGGCGGCGGCGGCCTGGCTCGGCGGCGTATACCTCTATTAGCAACGAAATGGAAAAAAGTCGTGACTAATATTTTTATTTTTATTTTATATAAAATGATGCGGGGAGTTTTAATTCGATGAAATCCAAAACCAAAAAATCAAAAAGTGAATTTTGTATATTCTATTAGTTATGACTTTTTGCATTTCAGCGATAATGTTGCAGGTGACGATATGTAACTAAAATAATTTTTTAATTACAATTTAGTTTAAGTTACTTAAATTTAAATTATTTAAGCATAGTTTTTATTTTTTTATTTTGATTTAATTTAATTTTAATTTGTTTTACTTTACTTTGATTTCGATCCATTTTATACAACTACATAATTTGTTTATGGTGTAAGTTTTCCCTCTACTTTTTCTCTCTTCACCCTTCGCAACGGCAAAATTGTAAACAAAACTTCTCTGCCGCCACCACAGTCTGCAAATTGCCTTCAAATCGTTTGCGCATGCGCACAGACAATTTTGAAAAACCAGTTTTCAGTAGTTTCGGCTTTGCGTTGCGCTCAACCACAAGAGCACAAAGAAGAAAACAAAGATAATAAAAAAAAACAGCAGTCAATTAAGCGGAGTCTGCCACTTCGAGATGTAGCCAAAGAGTATACAAAAAGAATGCTTCAAAAGTATTCAAGATCATAAATTGGAAATAAAGGAAATCACTATTCGCCACTAAAATCCACAGCTTTCCACCAATTTTCGCAAAAATAATAAAATTTTATATAAAAAAAATCACTTCATAAATTCCTTCAGCACACAATAGTGCAAATTGTTTTTGTCTTTTTTCTGCCACACACCGCAACACACACACACACACAGTGCAAATGTATTCTGATTAGCCCTTTATGTATTCCAGTATTTTGGCCTTTTCCATCTATCCGTTCACTTGGTTTTAACGTTGCGCTCACTCTCGCGAATCCGTTGCGACTGAGTGTCTTTGACTTCGCTTTGGCGGCTCATTGCGTTAATTGTGGCTTGTTTTGTCTGTTGATCATTGCGCCAACACGGCCTCTCAGGCAGAGTTGCCACTGACGAAAAAAAATGTTTACCATCCACTTGAAAAAAATCTACCAAATCTGGGAAATATCTACCAATAATTTTTTATAATTATTTTAATAAAAACTATAGTTTTGTTATTTTTTTAATTATTTTAATTAAAACTATAGTTTTTTTATATATTGTTTTTAGTTATTTCAATAAGAATTAAAATTGTTTTTAAGAACTTTTTATTTAACTAGTTATACGGTATTTGAGTCATATTATTGGCATATTCTCAGTTTCTTTCAACCAAAATCGGAAGTGATGGAACTAAAGGCAACAATGAAACCCCGTTATTTGAAAAACTTCAACTCGAGTTATTATAGACAAATACAGTGACTCAAAAAAGTGATTTTTTCTAATATTCGCAATATTTTTCGAGTAAAATTTTTTTACTGCTTTAACTGAATTCATAAAAATCGGGGATTCAAACAATATACAACATATAAAAAAATTCCAAAAAATTTCGTCTAAATTTCAAATTTTTTACTCGGAATTTGTAGAACAATTTACGGTATGGAGTTTCAAAGCAAATACTATTTGATTATAGCCAACAATGTGCTGCTTAAAATTCACGTTGATTTTATTTTTATTTTTTGCCATTGATAAAAAATGGCTTTGATTTAATTTTGTTTTTGCGATCAATCATAGTGCGTAATTACATACCTGTTAATTTTTTCTTTATATTTAAATAATCATTTAAAATATTTAGGCAATCAAAAGCTCCTCGGGATTCCAGTAAAATTAGTTTTGAATGGAGCGCGATATGTTCGCTTTATATCGATATACATTTATAAGTATGTAATTATATAAAAAGTATGCAAAGAAATTTATAATATATTTAGAGATAACTACGAAAAATAAATCGGGAACGGAAAGTTCATCAAAAATCTACCAAAATGAGAAGAAATTTACCTTTTTACCAACCCAAATTTTTTCTACCAATTTTGGTAACAATTTACCAAAGTGGCAACCCTGCTCTCAGGTGTTGCCGCCGGTCCATACACAGGTAGCGAAAAAATCATGCACTCAATGAAGAACGATCTTTTTTGCTGTTTTTGTTGTATCTGCTTATTGCTTGTGCTCTTTGCTGATAGATTTTGATTATATATATTTAATTTTGTTCATTATTTTCTTACCTGTCTACCAGCTGGTATGCTAAGGGCATCTACATATATATGTAGATCGTGTTGTATGAAAGTGTTGTATAATTTTAGGCGTGATCAATATAAACTGACCTGCAGCATGTTCAAGGCAGTTAATGTAAGAGAATGCTTCTTCACATAAGATGTCTATTCATGTTTACAATTAAAAACTCACTATGGGTAAATAATATATGTACATATATCTTAGGTTTAATTTAATGTCTGAAGATCAGTCTATGTCTATGTCTATGCTTTCGATCTGGGGCTTCTAGTTAGAGAAGAAGTACGCGAAATCCATTTCAAAGCTCAAACAGAGATAAGCAAAGTCTGATGTTAGTTGTGTAATACCTACCAGGGATGATAAATGAGTTTTTAATTTTTGTACCAAATGGACAAAAGACATTAACGTGACGTTTTTCTTGGGAGGCAAGTTTTTTGTTTAATCTTTCTTCAGCAACAACTTCCCATATATGCCATTTGAACACTTTTGGAGAAACAAGCGAATTAAATAAAAAATCCTTTTCCACCTAAAAGTGACCTGAAAATATTTCACTTTTTTTTTGTTCTAAAAGTCTAATTTCACGAAAATATAAAATCAAGGAAATCATTGAAACCCCTGAAGCAATAAATAGGCATTGGTTATTATCTTATTTTTAGTGTTTTTTGTATAAAAAAACTGGGTGACTTTCCGGAAATATTAAGCCTTACTCGTTAATATTAAATACATTTTTTTTGGTTCGGCCAGTGTGTACTGCACCAAAAATCTGGAAAAATTTCGTCCGTGGACTTGGATGCGTAGCGTTATATGTACTTGTACATATGTATAGTTTAAAAAGGCCATGAAAACCCTAAATTTCCATTAACAATCAATAATTCAAGTTAATCAACTAAACCATACAAGTATGTTTATTAAGTGCGAGTAACACAAAGAAACAGTTGCTTATATTATAGCAACAACATTTTGATAATTTTAAAAAGTCTTTAATTTTTAATAAACACCACGCACATACCTGTATAAAGTAGGAAAAAGATGACTGCATTTTTATCCACAAGTCGTATTTCTACATAATTTGTCGTAATGCTGTATTTTGACAAAATTGTGTCAAAAATGTCGATGTAGTACCAATGTACTTTTGGGATCCAAAATGTATCAAAAGAGTACAATTGTACCATCAATTTCATCACTGATACCTACTTGATTAGAGGCCATTTAATCAATAAAAAAACTAGGCAAAGAGACCAAGTTGATTTTAACAAAGAATTGAATTTATTGATATGGTTATCAAATGAGAGAGGTCAAGACAAGCTTAATTTGTGAAGTACTTTTAAAATTATTTTTAAAAATTAAAATTAAATTAATTAATAAGATAATTCAAACATTTTAATATCTGTACATATGTATGTAGATGTATGTTGAAAAGATTTTAATAAAACTTAATTTATTTATTTAAAATTTTGAAGAATTTTGCCACCTATTTAGAAATTCAGAATCAATTTAATTTATCATATTAGCTAAATGAAGTTTTGTAATATTGGAAATGGGTTTTAGTAAGCTTTTTCCTAAATTACTTTTGAAGGGGGTTACCACCTGCTTTCAAAATCAAATTTAACTTAGTTAATTAAATTCGAAGTAACGGTGTAGATCTGACAACCTTCATAAAAAATGCCGTCGCGTTTTACATACATATATGTATGTATATGTGCATGTACTAATAGGTGGCAACTCTAAAAAAATTATTTTAAAGTTACAGCTTTCACAACACTCTTTCGCTTGACATTCAAATTAAGATATATCAAATGTTGTGTATGAATTGACCCAACTGGACTTTTCAAAAAGGCGGAAACTTTTTCCAAAAGTATTTTTAAACTTAAATCTCTTTCATCTGACATAGGGATACAAATTTCAATCTACTGGTGAATTACGTGGAATTTGATCTTTCAAATACGTGGCAACCCTTTTAAATTAATTCAAAAATAAAGATTTTTTAAAATCATTTAGCTTGATACCCATCTTTTAAAAGTTGATTGAACTTGTTACATAATTTCAATTTAACTTTTTAAACAGGTGGCAACCCTTTTTAGATCCCTCAAAAATCCTCCTACAAGAAATAGAGCCTTTTCAAAAACATTTCGATCGATACACATATTGCAATAATTGATTTAACTTATTAATTAATTAATTATTAACAAGTGCCAACTCTTTAAAAAAAATAAATATTAATCTCAATCTGGTTGTGGATCTTAATCCTTCATTCAACTCTTCAACGGCCGTTTTTTTTATTTCAGGTCCGCCACAGACCCTGTCTTTAAGAGAAATTATTAAGGCTCGACAGATATTTGTTAGCCGCTACTAGGAGATTTCTACTCTAATAATTTTGCATTTTAGTACTATTTAATATGTATTTATTTCTGCCCTTTATCCCAATGTTCACAGAAATTTTATCCATTTATTCCTAATTTTTATTTGATACCACAACAACCCCTGCAAGCAAACAAGAAAAATTCGCACTGATTAGATTTGCTAGCAATTTAACGAATTTTCGCGCACCACAGCACATCTCCCTCCAAGTAGCCATACACACATTAATACAATCATACATTCATACAACCACCTAGACTCGTATGCCTCTGCATATTACTCATACCACCCGTTGAGCGTGTTGTTGACAAATATTTATCTAACCAAATATGAGTTTTTTTTTTGCGTGATGAGGTGACACGAAGCACACACGAAAAATGAAAGTGCAAAGCTTCAAGCGACAAAGTAGCGATAAAAATCAATTTAAATTCACTTTACTGCTGATAATTTAAAGTGATTTTCAAAATGGTATGGGCATAGCATGAACTCGCAGCTCGAAAACGTTTGAAGGAGTTTACATTGATTGCGAATTTGTGGGTGGCATCATTTTGATTTGTGTGCGTGCGTTGCTGATGCTGTCCTTTCTCATTAAACTTATAAAACGAACTTCTTCCCTGCAGCAGCGTAGCCTTTTCCGTAATATCCACGTCTTCCTCAATTCCAACTCACTTGTGGCCGACGTAGCCTACTCACTCAACAAGGGCCTAAGCAAATAGTGGCAACACAGCACAAAGATCGCCATTCTCTCTCGGCAATTTAGTCTTTAGAAAATATAAAACATTTCCTAAGCAAATATGACACAAAGTGAAGCAGAAGTAGAACTGTTCAGCAAACGCTCAACTGTCGTCCATCAACAACTGGCGAGTGCTGGTTTTCTATCGTTCATAGTTGGCGGTGGGTAGAGGAGTCGCCGTTAACGTTTTCTTACATCTACTGATAAAGTATTAGCAAAGAAAGTGTTGAACATAAATGAAAGCTCTAAGCGCCTCCACTGCTACAGCATATGGCGCCGTCGCCACCCACAACATAATATGCATGTATGTAGTTATGTAGTTTGAACGCTGAGCGCTAAATGTAAATTGAATGGGCAAAGGAAAGTGACTAAAAATGGAATAAAATGTTGTCGAGCAAGTAGTAATAATGCTGCTTGACTGCCTGACTCGCTGACTGATTGCAGTGACGTGAAGAAAAGCATTTGAAATGAGGTGATGAGCAGTGATTTGGGTTGTTGTTGTTGTTGTTGTTGATGGTGGAATAGTTACTATATCTCTTAGTTGTAACTATTTAATGAATGTTGGCAAAAGCAACAGCGGCAGCAGCAGCAGTAAAAACAACAATGCACAGTGCATTGAAAAGTGCAGAAAAAGTGG